CTGTTTTTATATAAATATTAATAACTCTGGCCTGGATGATCGGAATCCAACAATTTTGCCAACAAAAAATGCCAACAACTTCATCTATTTCAAATAATAAAGGCATATTGAAAAAGCAATTAATAGATAAAAAAACGCTGATTAAGACTATCAAAATATTGATCTAATAACAATTTGACGTTTATACTATTACGTCAAAAGCAACTTTTTTCCAAAGCCTACCATGACTACTGAATCATCGTTTCTTGTTCCCTGTTATTAATATCTTAATTATTAGATATTAATACCTCTGGTATTATGGTATTCTGGTATTTTGTCGATTTTAAAATAAACTAGCTGTTTCTATCTTATTTTTTTGTTAGAAAGGGCATAATTAAGAGGGCTACTGATACCGTATTGTAAAAATAAGGTAATTAAGGGCTTATCTTTTGGTATTTATTATAATTTTGCTAATACCTTTAGCTTGAAAGAAGATATCAAGATGCGGTTTTCGCTGACTTTTTAAGCTTTTACTACTCTTTACTATCAGCTAAAATTACATATACTATTGTATTTAATTTTTTTGAAAAAACGCGCAATGTTTGTTAAATTGTAAGACAACGCCCCCTAGCGTCTACGTTCAAAAGCTTATTGTTTATATGGTACAATATAGAGTAGGAAATGCTCTTTTAAACGAGCCCTCGCTTGTTGGATTCCGATCATCCAGTCCAGAGTTATTAATATTTAAATAAAAACAGATCTAACCTTCCCCCACCACTTTATTTTGGTAGATAGGGAAAAATGGCTCTAACAAAAAATATTCAAAATTTACTGAAGATTATGAAGCTATTACTTATAGTACACCTTATCTAGTCAAAATTGTGTAAAAACTCCATTTTCGTATTTTTTGTTGCAGTTGCGCCCCCTAACAGTCGTTCTACTAACTTGAAAATAATTTCCAGCAATTTCTCATAGCCCCTTTAGCTATAAATATTTTTTTCCGTAAACCCTACGGCTAATACTTTCCGAGATACAGCCGAGAGCTATTCTTAGTGGGGACACCCGGTACACTAATGTATTTTTTTGTGATTGAACGTGTTGTTGGGCCCAAAAAATTCACGGATGAGTGCTCAGCTCAAGTATATAAGCTCAGAAGTTTTAGGATTGAGTTCAGCATCCCCAATAGTACCCTAAAAATCTTCGATTACAATCCCGAGGACTATAGAAACTTGAAATACTCCCATCTAAAAACCATTCTTCTTGACAATTAACTTTGTCTCCCCCCTCCCTTCGCCCCTTCTCTCAATATAGTTCTCCTAATACCCCACAAATAACCCTTCTCTTTCTCCCAAATATCAGCAGGAATAATAGCTAACCATACTTCGGCAGCTAGTTCCTCGGAGGTCGACTGTTTTTAGTGGGTCACAATTCCGAGTCCCACACTGTCTAGGGGTTACTTATATGACCGTCACTCTTGAGATGGTGATGGGAATGATCACTATTCGTCTATGAAAGATTTCTAAACCACCCCCTCACAAAAAAGGCCTCTTGGCCTTAAGAAGGTTGTATTTTATTTTTATATTGAGAAAAAATCATTTTTAAATGGTGTTCCAAATTCGGGAATTCGAATTTTTTGGAAATAGATTTGTTTGTCTGGAAACCTTTTGTAATCTTTCTATCATTAGTGTTAATTTTTGACAAGTTTTATGTCAGTTTTTAGTAAATTAGAGTTTATATATTAGTTTAGAGATTGACCTCACCAAAATTATCATGGATTATCATTCCCAAGCCGTCTTTGACGCCGTTTTTTTCGATCGTATGGAACAAATTATAAAATAATAGGAAAAAGTAATTTTTCAATGAAACAAAAACATTACATTGGAAATTCCCGGTCCACATTTTTGTAAATATTTTTAAGTGCAAAGAAGGTTAATCTCAGCATCCATCTCGGAATAATTCATGTTTACCTGCCATAAATTAAGGTTTTTTCCTTTACCTACCTTGTAATGTCAGACCATTCCTATATCTAATAGCACTCGCTCAGTGAGTCACGGTCCATCATAAAGTATCCCAAAGATATTTTCGCAAATTTATGTAGGGTCTAGGGCCATAAATACAAATTTCTATCTAAGATTGATTATAAAAAAATCCAGTGTAAAGGCACGGCACGATTTTGGCTGGAGGTTTTCAAAAAAAACCGAACCTTTTAGCCTTATATATTTATGATTAATTAATTAAATTCCGTAGAATAATATTTTAATTTTAAATCCTAATCGACCGATCATTTACCTTATTTTGGTTAAACGTTTTTAATTTAAGTAGGTAATTAATTTGTTTACCTCAGCAAATAACTTTTTTTAATCAAGATGAAGACGGTGAAAATAAATTTAAAACCCTTAATTTTAGGTTGC